GCCTTCGACGTGGCCGACATGGTGAAGCAGTTCTTCAGAGACCTGCCCGAGCCCATTTTCACCAGCAAACTCTGCGAGTCCTTCCTACACATTTACCAATGTGAGCAGATAACATCAGTTCTGATTGATTGTCATGAGGGATCAATGGTTTGCTTTCCTAACATGCATCTTTAATCTTGCCATAAAAGCATCTCGTCCACTTCTTCATGCAGATTTTCCAAAGGATCAGCAGCTGCTCGCAGCTCAGGCGGCCATTTTGCTGCTTCCGGATGAGAACAGGGAGGCGTTGCGGACGCTGCTCTACTTCCTCAGTGATGTTGTGGCTTGCGTGGACGAGAACCAGATGACTCCCACAAACCTCGCCGTCTGCCTGGCGCCGTCTCTGTTCCACCTCAACACCCTGAAGAGGGACGCTAACGCAGCTAGGTGAGCCGAGGCCAAGAAAACGGTCTTAAAGTGTGTTTCTGGGGCATCAGCAGGCATCGGTTACCTCATCGCGTCTTCTAAGCGTCTTTTAAAAATCGACATCAGACGTTTCTCTAACTGTGAGGAGTCACACAATCTCAATATGGAAAGAGACGGAGGGCGTGAGGCGTCTGACCCACATTGTCAGAGTTATGTAAGTTTTAACAGCAGTTACATAAAGAGCTGGAGGTGTGGAGTCCACTCTGCCTGTATCTGTGTGTGTCTGTGTGTGTCTGTGTGTGTGTTGCTTTGGTTTTGGCCTAAAATGAAAGCAGATGAAGATCAGAAGAACTGGGAGATTTCTCTGAGAGCTGTTCCTCTGCTAAGCAGCTTGTTTTGCAGCTTTTAGCCCATTTACTGCAAATCGTTTATTTGATATCTTGCCTGGAGAAGATTTTCTGACACGTCTCATCCTGTGTGTCCTTAAACATAAAACTGAGCATCGTTTCCTCCTGCGTAGAAGTCCGTGAGGTGACGACGTCAATGCTGTTGTGGTCAAATTAGATAAAACTAAAGTAGCTTCGACTTTTTCGTGTGAAAGACCAAAGTCTCTCAAAAATCTTACAGTTTTTTAAATAATTGAATCATTTTGGTAGCTTTGCAGTCTCTGTAGGTA